CAATATGGCTACATTTAGAACTTAACAAGGGAAGTTCTTATTGGTGCCTGACTATGTAATGTGATATTTTCCATGAAAGGAGTCCATATTAGTTGGCACTCTGACCATCAATCTTGGATTTCATAGGTGGTTTCCTGAAAGAGTATTATTTATTGTCTGCCACAGTGATAATCTAGAGGACCTGGCATCTTCCCAGTGCAATATAATTCTATATTTTACCAGAAGCACTGAAAAGCATCCTAAAAATATTTAAGACATTGAAGGATTATGAGTGTAATTGTACGTTGCAAAGGCATCATTTTAAATATTTTTGTAATAATTTCCATAAATGTAATCACAAAAGTTGTAATTTAGATGCTTATGAGATTAAATTACGCTCAATATAATTTGTATATAATCTCTTGTTGACTTCTGTAATAGTACTTGCATAATATACTAGGAATATGTAAAGTACTTGCATAATAGACTAGGAATATGATTTCAACAAGCATTCAAGTTAAATTCCAGACATACAAGTAAGAAATCATGTTACCATGAAATAGCCTCCTATGGATAATGTAAATTAAATGGAGCATGATAATTAAAAGATTTGTAGATAAAGAAGTTTTAATTTTTGTTGAGTAAGACAAAAGTTAAACAGTCAGATTAACAACTACATTAACAAACCTGACAGAAGAGCTACATTATTTCAATTCACCTGTTCAACTTTTATAAACAGTTCCATAGACATTACTCTTGGTAATAATATACAGGAGGAATTTTGTTGTTCCTGCTGCTGTTTTTCTTTTTCTTTCATTTTTTAAATAAAAAGGCCTGGTTTTAACACTTGTAGTTGATTTAACTCCCCTAATGGTGGTTAGTCACAATACCTTCTTGTCAAGTGAAATTGACAAAAAATAATGACAACAGTACAAAGTGTTGCAAAACACAAAGAGACTGAAGCTAATTATATATATATAAAATCAGCTGATCACCTAACTACTATCTTAATACACTTCCCCCTTCTCCTCATAGACTGTGTCTAGACTACATGCCTCTGTCGGCAGAGGCATGTAGATTAGACACATAGGCAAAGGCAAATGAAGGCGCGATTTAAATGATCGCGGCTTCATTTACATTTATATGGCTGCCACGCTGAGCCGACAAACAGCTGATTAGCTGTTTGTCCGCTCAGCGCGCTAGTCTGGACGCTCCCCTGCCGACATCAAAGCCCTTTGTCGGCAGCCCCGTTATTCCTCGTGCGGCAGCCATGTAAATGTAAATGAAGCCGCGATCATTTAAATCGTGGCTTCATTTGCCTTTGCCAAAACAACAAATCTACATGGCGTACCCATATATATTTTAGACATATATAGTCTAGACGTACCCATATATATTTTTCCCCTTATTGTAAATGCTTTGAGACAAGAATCTCATATTTCCAAAGCCTCTAACAAATGGGGCCTCAAAGGCTAGGTCTAAACTGCAAGCTTCTTTTGGAATAAGCTTTTCTGGAAGAGATCTTCCAGAAAAGGTGCAACATATATCATATTAAATTTGTAATTCTTAACATAAGTACAGCTTTTTCCCTGGCAGCAAACTGAAAAGTTGCATGGGTCTTAATATATAGAATATGATATATTTCTAATTATCATAAAATCATAGTATATTAGAACTGTAAGGGACCTCGAGAGGTCATAAAGTCCAATCCCCATGAGGTCTTCTGTGATCTCAGTCCATGTGCATGGAGAAGGCCACCAGCTACCTCCCAACCTCCATCCTTCCCAGCTTTCCCTTCTAACCCCTCAAAAACACATGGCAGTGGGACCTCTCAGGCAGCTAAAGCCTCCCAACCTACCCAAGACAGATGCCAATCCCAGCCTCATCCCTGATCCTCCCCCCTCTCCTATTCCAGGTTATTTCCCCAGTTCCTCCCCTATTTCATATCCCCCCACATAAGACAATTGTTTATTAACCAAAAAAAAAAAGGCTTATTTATTTACTCTGCAGGGGAGGCGGGAAGAGAGGGTGGCAGAAGGGAGGGGTGGGGAAGGAAAGGCACACAGGAGCAATGCAGGGACCCCTTGTGGAGAGGCCCGGGAGGGAGTCTCACAGATCGCGTTGGCTGAAACTCTCCCTCCTGGATGAGCACAGCCCCAATGTACTCTCCAGATGGCACTGGTACCTGGCTGCTCATAAGCCCTAGCCAGCTGTTCAGCCTCTCCCTGAAGATGTGGGTGTCATGCACCTTCCCCAACCAGTCATTGTTAATTTCTGGGCACTCCCCTGTGGTTCACCAGAGCCTGCAGTACCATAGAGAATTCATGGGGTCAAGTGGAGAGAAATTCTCCTTGTAGGACCTCCTCCAGCCTGCTACTAGCTGGCAGGGGCTGCTCTTCCCCACCTATGGCTTTGAACTCTTCTTTGGCATCACTAGGATCAGCATAGAAGCAACTTTTGGTGGAATGCATGCAGCACCCACCCCTGCCATGCTCCCTGCATCTGAGGAGAGGGAGGACAGGGGACAGCAGGCATAGGAGCAGCCCACAGGTTCTGAACCAGTAAGTCAGAGTGTGGGAGGAGGGCACAAAAGGGGGATGGTTTGGGCCAGGAGAAGGACTGTAATAGGAATAAGATTGTGTCGGTATGCCTGGCCAATATGCTGCAGGGACAGTTGCCTGTCTTGTGGGCTCCCCTCTTGCCCCAGCTGCCTGCCTGCTACCCAGATGGGTTTAGGTGCCATCGCAGTCAGCTTATCTGAGTAAGTCAGAGTGTGGGAGGAGGGCACAAAAGGGGGATGGTTTGGGCCAGGAGAAGGACTGTAATAGGAATAAGATTGTGTCGGTATGCCTGGCCAATATGCTGCAGGGACA